CCCCAAAACCCCAAAACCCCAAAACCCCATTCAATGAAATAATTGAAAAGCAGTAGTTAAGAAATTCAATTAATAATCATTATATTTTGAAAGAAGAAAATAGTTATATCTTGATATATGCTTTAGCCATTTCAATATAAGTTTCCATGCTTTAATCAATAATCCTATCTTAAAATATAGTAGCCCAGTAATCTTTGAACTATTCTGGTGTCTAAATTTTTTTAATTATTTGTTTGCCAGATATATGAACATGATGAACATAGTAATCTCGATACTTGTCTAGATGCTTTTACAAGGCTGTCTTTTTATGCCTTGCTGTGATGTTCCTGACCTTTTCCAAAAGCATTTCTTGATGTTAATCATCACTAAACCATAAAGCATTGTTTTAAATCTCTTATTCTAGTTATTTAAGTTGTATCCAAGTAATATTTTTATAGCCATCAGTTGTTTAAGGGGAGGTTATAGGTTTTGATATTGGTGGATGATAATATGCGATTGATTTCTTGTGCTAGGCACTTTGTGGTCTGAAAATTTACTTTTACTCATCCAGCTATCTTTTCAAAAATAGCAATTATTTCTTGCCATGCTAAGCCACTTAGTTATCATTGTTTATAAGAAATGACAATTTTTCTCGAGGAGTTAATTTACTAAGATCTATCTAGTTATTCATCAATATTTCGTTTTCTTCTAAGGGTTCAAGGTTTTACATTAGTTTCGAGCTTTAAGTCTTACTGGGGCTCTAGTTTCGAACAATTTATTTCTCAGAGAATAGCTCCTATAGTTACAGATTATTTGGATGAGGATATGAGATCTTATTCTAGTCTTAAAGTAGTTAGAGATGCTATTCATTTTTAAGGATTGCCTCTTTGTAAATGTAGCTATGAAATATATTAGAGGAGGGAACATCGTTATCTCTCTATAAGACTGATTAAGACTTATACTTAGTAGTCAGTAGATATGGAGATCATTTTGCATTTTCAAAACTCAATGAAGGACTATGATGATGGTCAGATTTAGTGTTAGTATTTAGATTTGATTAAGAATGGATTCTACTATATTATCTCCTCATTCTATGAGAATTCGCTACCACTTAGGGACTGAATGATTTAGCCAAGCTTTGGGATTCTAATAGCCTGTTGACATCATCTGATTGCTGAAGTACTGTATTGAGATCAAGCGTTAGTGTGAACTTCTTTCCATCAAAATATCCTTTTTACCTTTCCATTTAATTTTACTATTAGCTCTCATGAGATACCTACTCATTTGTCTTGAACGGAGGTCTCTCAAGAACTTTGGATTTTTGAGGTCTCTCATACTTGATTGGAGGCCTGATTTAAAAATCTGTAATTGGAGTGTTCCTGTTAGTCAACTTTGCATGCTCTATGGTTTTTTACTAAATTTTAGCTCCATGTGAACTTATCATAACTCCTTCACTTGAAATATTCATTAAAATAGAATTGACTTACAACGGATTTAGCTTTTATTACTGGGGGATACTCGGAGGTGACTTCAGTCCAGCATTCATCATATATTTAAGACTCAAAATATGATTAGGTTATGCCTAGGCAAATTAAATCTTTTTTCTCTACATTCCTGACAATGTCCTTTGTTAAATTTTTTGACCTTTCATTTAGGCAGATTATTATTTATATATTTTCTCTAAACTTTCCTAAATCTTAAAACACGGGGTTTTGGGGTTTTGGGGTTTTGGGG